CCTGTTAGGTGCAGGTGAGTGCCAAAGCTCCTAACATTTCAATATAGTAAACAAGATATTTTTTTCGCATATGTTTAATTACCAAATTCGCATAATAAAGATGCCATAAGGGAGCTTCAACATGAGTGCTTGGTTATTCACAACTGGCCTAAGTATCTGCTGACACACATGGCTCATCTATTTTGTGTTTGCCAATGACAAGCTCATATGTATGTATGATCGTGTATATATGTATATAAATATCAGTGCACATGGGGGTGTGTGTGTTTATATATGAAAAGTTATCATTCACTTGTTGATTTACCAAAAAACTGTACAACAAGGTCCATCACTAACACATTTACAGATGAGGCGTCACATGAGGTTACCCCAGAAGATGATGTAGACATGAGTGGTAATGAAAACCAAAGAACACATGTGGACGATACGAGTCTATTGCAACAAAATGTTACACCTTCTGAAGGAAAGACTCAACAAGTCCAAAAGAAGAAGAGTGGCCCTACCCAAATGAAGAATTTGAACGAAGTCATTGCTCCAATTGAAGTAAAGTTTAATGAAATGGGACAATCACTATTTGTCACTTTATCTTCCTTTCTTGGTCGTCTTGTGAGGGAGATTGTACCGTATACTCTTGTTGACTGGCGATATCTTTCAGATGATATGAAACTTGTTATGTGGAAAGATATTCAGGTACATCCTTCAAAATAATTTGACGTTATATAATACAACGTAATAAATATTTGATATTGTATAAAATTGAAAATTTATAACATGCAGCAAAGGTTCAAAGTATATGAAGAGTGGCAAAAAGACTACATTTTTAAAGAAATGGGTGGTCTCTGAAGAGCGTTGAAGTCTCGACTTGTGAAAAAGATTAGAGAAGCACCAAATGAAGCTGAAAGAATGAAACTCAAACCTGATAATATACTTAAACCCCAACAAAGGAAGAAGTTTGTGTAGGGAAAGACGAGTATATAATTTATGGTAAATTCTGCCTTTTCCCTTTTTTTAGATCAAATTTATTCTGAGCTATGATTAATTATCAATGAACTTATATAAGTTTGGAAATATGATTGTTAGGTTAAAAGCCAAAGATTTAGAGAAATTCAAGAAAAACAAATCACACACACATGCAGTCGCAAGGGATTTGCCAGATTACGTGAAGGTATGGTAACATTCCTTCTTTAATTTGACTAAGTAAATCATTTGCTCCAGATTCTTATCATACAATTCTTCACTCTCTTAGCAAAAGAAGAGCAGCAATCCATCTTCTATAGGTCATAAGGAGGTTTGGGCAGCAGCACATATAAAAAAGAATGGTGAACCTATATGCAAACTTGTTGAAGAGACACTTGTAAGTATAAATAATTTATTTTTCCTAGTTCTATATATGCGTGCATACACGTGTGTGTGTGTGTGTG